CGCCAAAGGAAACAGCCCAAGGCCGGTTAGACTTCTTGCTTAGCACGTCACCAAGAGGAGAGCACGGGAAGTTTATCTGCACCGCCTTAAGGAGCCCAAGGCCGGTTAGACTTCTTGCTTAGCACGTCAACAAGAGGAGAGCACGAGAAGTTTATCTGCACCTCCTTAAGGAGCCCAAGACCGGCTAGACTTCTTGCTTAGCACGTCACCAAGAGGAGAGCACGGGAAGTTTATCTGCACCACCGAAGGAAGAAAACGGTCCAATCATTGACCACGTTTCATGAAGAGCTCCCCAACCTCTTCCTTCCGTGGAGGATAAGTCGCGATCTCCACCAAAGATAATCTCTAAGCTGCGATAAAGAAACCTTGAGGATATGTCATGATCTCCACAAGAATGATCTCTTAGCTACTATAAAATGACTCTAATCTGGGAGAGGAGAGAGACATCCCACCAGAGTCATACATAAGACGAACCGACTACCGGAGATTACCATTTTCTTTGATTCTCCATTCTCTCTCTCAAAGCTTGTATATCCATTCTCCATACCCTTGAATCAATAAAATACCCGGCGACTGAAGCCATTGAAGAGTGGACGTAGGTCGAATTGACCGAAACCACTATAAATTGTGTCTTCTTTAATTCTTTCGTTGATTTCATTGCATTTATTATCTATACTTGACAGGTGGTGTGCAAAACTAATTTTGTGCATCATCAAATGCTGCGAATGGTGATTAGCTTTCCATAAGTTGGGGCCTGGATTTGAAGTTGAGATGAGACCTTCTTCATTTTGAAACTAAAGGTAATGTATTGTTTTTTGTCTACAAGTTCAGAGAGCTCAAGCTTTCGTTGTTTGGTTTTCCAACAAAGTTAATCTATTTATAGCCCTCAATAAGCATGCAAGAAAATTCCTTGCAATCTCTTTGATTGGCTATATGGTGAGTATGGATAAATGTTGAAAACCTGCAGATATATTAAGCATAATCTAAGCTGCCGTGGGCATCCTTCATTCCAAGCATCACCTTAGACTTTTTTTTGATATTTTTCTTTATCACAATAAGAAGATAGCAAGTCCCCCCCCCCCCCCCCCCCTCCCCCTTCTCTTCCTATTTTACTAAAACCTTTGGCTGAAAAGTGGTATAGCCCGCCAACCCCAAAATAATATTTTATAGATATCAATATAAGGTAGAATCATTTTGTTATTTATTCCGCGGGATTTTTGGTGAGAGAAAATGCTCGAATTGGCCAATAAAGAAGAATATCGAATTGGATGGTTGAACAACGAACAATCATTCTTGTCTTCCCCTTCTTCCTTAGGCAATTAGAAATCTTCTTATCGAAACTATTTATCTTTTATCGCCGAATCTCTTGCTACCGAACAAGGTATAGCTATGATCAAAGTGAAACGGCGATAAGAGATCATGTTGGAATTTTTTTTTTTTCAGGTTTGGTATACATGTACTTCGTCCCGTTTAATGAATTACTTACCTGGAAAAAAATTAAAAAATTTGTGTGTCCGAAAATAGGGGGGAGGGGAGGGGGGGGGGGGGAGCATACTGACACTGAGTAGCGGCCAAATCCGTGACAGTTTGAGTCACTCATTTCACAATATTAAATTGCAATAAGGTGTTTTTATCTCTGCTATTTGTTTGACCCTTGAATAAACCATATAGTGATGAGTCGTTTACGCTGGTCGAATCATACGACAATAAATCATATAATACGCCAGGTGACAATGAAATTTACTTGTTTTAAGAACCAGTAAGAATGTCTGCGCAGATAAACAATCATATATTATGCGCATAAATAACTGTTTTAGATATCTAACCATTCATGTGATACTTTATATATATAACACATGTTGTTTAATGTTTTCAATGTATTTTGCATGTAAGAATTTGTAAGCGACGTGCAGATCTGATCAACTTGATAACATCGATAAGCTCAATTAATTAGTACAATACATGCGATTTAAACGTTTTTTTTTTTTAAGTTTATATTCTTAATTATAGAGAACAACAAGATGATAGGACTAAGGATGATATCAGATAAGTGAAAGAAACAAATTTGTAAGTAAAAATAAATGAAATCTAATTAAAATTTTAAATTTGTTTTATACACGTGTCGAATCTAAGCATTGTGTTACTCAACTTAAGTTCGCTCGGCGCAACTCAAATAATTTTAATTTTTTACTCAAATTTATTTCCAATTTGCTCAATTGATATACAATATGTATACTTTTTGACTCATTCTCTTCTCTAATAATAGGTAAATGTCACTAATTACACTAGTAATTTCTTTCTTGAAACCACACATTGAATATAGGGACTTGTGTGTTCCTTAAAACGACTCCACTTTTATAAAAACAAGTTGAAAAAGTTCCATAACTGTTCCCATGGTTCTTAACTACATCAAATAAGCTCGTTTCAAATGCACCTAAACTTTTGCCAAATCAAGCTTCCAGTTACCATGATAATGTCGCTTTATCATTTGCTTCTCGTTGTTAATGATTGGGTGGCTTTAGGAAACTGGCTTTAATTAAGAGCAATGCTATTAGACCTAACCTAATTTATTGACCTAATTCACTGTGATCTTTAAATTGATTTTGAGACCCATCAAACATTAGAATTTGGTGTTGATCTAATAGTTGTGCAGTCAGCAAATTAGATCAAATTTTTAGGTTCAAATAGTATTACTCTTAATTAATGACCTAAGATTCAAAGGAGCACAATTCAACGTTTTGATTCTATAGGTTGGAATTGGCTATTTTAAAGTTCAATAATAAGGCGGTGGTCATTAAGTTAATCACTAATCTCTAAATTACATAATAATTAGTGTAAGATTATTATGTTTATGTTTGATATTTGACAGCTGATAGGGATTTTTCATATTTATTCAACATAAATCATAGAGACAAGACAATAGGGTATGAATTGTTTGAAGTTGAATCAAATTTAAGAATGCGAAATTTAATTCATCAAGACTACACAATGAGAATTATGCACTCAAATTCAATTGCATTGCTTTCACGAGCTCTAAGGCTACGTTTAATGCACGAACGGTGAGTTTGTATACTAAAAGTAAAATTCTCATCTTATAGTTCGGATCCCAAACTTTATAACTAGCTTTCGGGCTAATAAACCGTAAAAAATGACTAATTTCTCATTCTCCTTTGTAAAAAACATCATCTCAACAAGTTCAATTTATGACTAATTGGACAGTACTAAAAAATAGAGAATGATTTTTTGGGCCCGGTATCAAATAATTTTTTAATGGAAAAATAAGATTTATTAAAAAATTTCTTTTTCGTCTTAGTGGGAAAAAATAAAGCTTGCAAAATATCCTTAATATTTTAGAAAATTAAAAGCACCTGTTGCAATTGGAATTTTGTGGAGGAGTGAAAAGACGACCTTTTTTCCTTTTATTTTATTTTGGATTGGATGCTAACTATAAATGAAGTGTACTTATTGTATATGAATCTTCTTCAATTAATATTAATTATCTTATTTACCTAAAAAAAAAAAAAGTTAAATGGACATAAATAAAATAAAGGAGAATTACACTCAGACCCTTTAAAGTTTATCACTTAATCACTCAGACCCCTTATATTACATACAGACCTTCTAAAGTTTGTACACACATAACACTTAGATTCTTGCTATCAATGTCCGTTAGTACATCAGTTAATAAATTACACTCATACGTCTTGAAGTTTATAGGTGTGTAATACTTAGACTTTTAAAGTTTAAAATGTTATATTTAGATAAAAAATATTTCATATATTCATATTCTAAATATATCAAATATTTTAAATTTTACAATCAAAATTCATATTCTATTATAACATTTATTAAAATAAAATCAAAAATAAAAATCTAATTTTTAAACTAATTACGATTTTTAAGAAAAAATTAGATTTTTATTTTTGATTTTATTTCAATAAATAATACAATAGAACATAAATTTTAGTTGTAAAATTTAAAATATTTAATATTCTATCTTTGATTGAAGAATTTTTTATCTAAATATAATATTTTAAATTTAAGGGGTATAATATTATATGCCTATAAATTTCAAAGGGTTTAGGTGTAAATTACTAACAGCTATACTAACGGTGTAAGTACTACGCGCGTACAAATTTTAAGAGATTTGTGTATAATATTTTAAATATTATGGAGTCTGAGTAATTAAGTAACAAACTTAAGAAAAATTAGAAGTAATTCTCCCATAAAATAATTAAGAAATAAGAAAAGAAAACAACGGACGAAGAGTTGGTCTGAGAAAGTTGAAGAGGAGACGATGACAACTCTTACGAGCAAAAGCTCAAAGAGAGAGAGAGAGAACAGCCAATGCCAATGCCAATGCCCTCTTCACTACTTTCTTTCCTGAAACATGGCTGAGAAATATGTTCCTTAAAAAAAGTGTGCTTTTCATAACTTATGGTCTCTCTCACTTTCCCATTTTCGGTTACGTTCTTTACCTTTACCATTCAATTTCAGTTCTGTACTTATGTGTTCCTTTTCTTTCTTTTCCCCTTTCGATAGAATTTGTTTTCTTTGGGAAGTACGAACCATTAATGGGTAGCTACATATAAAGGTTACGTCTTGTTTTCCTCTCAATTATGTGCATGCACTGATTTGATTTTTTCAATGAAAGAAGCTCACTCTGACCATTTCTTTTGTCTTATTTTTCTCTGCATATTTAAACTGAACCACACCCAAAATCTCATTTTTCCTTTTCTTTTTCACCATTGATTTTCTTCCTTTTTTTCCCCTTTTTGATGGAGGTTTTAAGATGGACTCCACAGGTTAGCTCCTCTCTGTAGCACTTACTGTTTTCTGCAAGATTTTTTTGGTCCAATTTCTTTGTCATTTTCTTATCACAGACCCATAATTTTGTTTTTTTGATATTTTTTACTAGAAAATAACATCTGGGTAACATTCACTACATACAAGACACATTGGTCATAAAGGCGCCTAAGAAATCTCCATTGATATTGAGAATGGTGGTCTTACTTTTTGATGTGGTCTGTGGAGTGTATATTTTCTCTATTTGTTTAAAGCAAACAACTAATTCCACAAAAAATACTAAGTTTCTAGAGATTCAAGTGATTGACCAGCCTTGTCACGCTTCTGAGATAGAACAATGGGAAATTCCTTGTGTGCATTTCCCAAAACCCAAAACCTTTAGCAGGTAACTGAAAAAATTAAAAAAAAAAAAAAAAATTATTGGGTTTGGTTCAGTTTGGAGCAATTAAAATAGATGTGAGTGATGGATTTGCAGGGAGGAATGCGTCTGCAATCCGGTTCGGAATTTCACCATCTTGTCGATGCAGAGATCTGGGAGTGGATGGTTTGAGACTTCGTTAAATAGTCATATAAACATTAGCTCGAATGGTGAAATATTTTCTGTCAAAGAAAGGGGAAGCAATGTTTCTGTGATGCAAAGCACAGTGGATAAAGTTTACAACCTCGATTGGTCCACTAGTGCTTCCAAGAACGAGTGCTCAGGGGCAGTTGGGCTGAAATGGATGCTCAATCAGGTGAGTAGAGTAGCATGGTAGAATCTAGTTTATCTAGTGGATGCTGTATACATAAATCTGATACCTGAGAGACCTACAGTACAAAAAATGAGGTAATGAAAACAATCAACAACTTGCACCTTGTTGGTGACGATAGAAGATGGTGGTGGCGCAACAGCAACAGACCATTCAAGTTTTAAAACATCGAATACCAAAGTCTTTGCATATCCTGAAGAGGAAATATATATAAAAAAGGTTAAGAAGATGGAGTCGGTCTGTAAGAGCAAAGAAAAATGAGCACCAAAGATTCCAGTGATAAGCTTAGGCACGATTAGAAAACCTATAAACATTTGTCCTCACTTAGCCAACTAATCAAAACATAATTTTGAATATTTGAACAACCATTCATTACCAAAATTTTACTTAGACCGTTTCTCAGCCCGGAGGTCAACCAAGCAACCACAGGCATGAGTAGATGTAGTTCAGCATTCAATTGGATCCAAAAGAACAATTACAATATAGAATGATTGGTGAGACACCAGTGATGAGTTACTGCAGAGGAACAACTTGAAAGATTTTGGACACGTCACAGGTAGAAAACTATCATTGTTCAACCACTCCATTTAATTGAATTTCGTGATACAGTTACATGCAACATACTCGACTCAGCGAAGATTATTGAGAATAGTACATGTAGTGAGATAAGCAAACAGGTAATATGTACTTGCACCTGTTCTTTTTATGATGACAAAGGGCTCAACCTCCTCCTAGGTGAGACCCTTTTATTCTCATTTGTCTCACCCCATTTATTGTTTTTGTGAGACATGGTATTGAAGCCTGAGTATTATCTGGATGAACTAAGGTATTCCTTTTGCATCGGCGGCTTTATCAAGAGAAGGTATTTCTCTCAAAGAAAACGTGAAACAGATCTTTTTGCTGAAACAGGGACATTAGGTTGTCCCTAATGTATTTTGACCACTAGAATATTTTCAAAAAGTTTCCTTTTATAATGTTTCCAAGATTGGAGGTGATCTAGATAGAAAGTCTATGTTTAGGTTTTGCACCTCCATAGATGGCAATTTGATTACTTAGAGGAGAAAGAAATTGACAATATGGTAGCACAATTTAGTGTGGCAGCATGATACAGGGTAATCACCCATGCAGAATGTTATGTGGATAAGTGTGTGCACATTAGGAATGTGTGCATTAAAAGGAAAGTACAATAGAAAAATGTGGAAGCTGTGGCTAACAGTTACAATAGTAATTTACATTTTATGGTAACAAGTTCTAATTGAAGGGCCAAAATCTAGCACTTAGACCAACACTACCTTGTTGGTCTATTAATTCATGGTTTCTGTTGTTTTTAAGTTCATAGCATCACCAAAAGTGAAAGCTTTTCCAACACCTTAGTTGGGCATAACAAATACCTAATCTCACATTATTTATAGCACTCTTTTATGCAACAGTACAACTTCAGTGCAAGCCATTAATGCTAAACAAACACAATATGAAATATGAATGTTAAGTAGCACAAGCATACCAGACTATGACCCTTGCATGCAGGGATTTTTAGTGGCAGACTACTCGGTGAAAGGTAAAGCTTTGATGAAGCTGTGGTCCAGGAAAATCTGTCAAAGTTAAGCACCCGAGAGGAAAAATTAAGCAATTACAACAACTTCTGCATTCTAATGACGCACATTAAACCATACTGCACAAATTAATTAGATTAGTGAGATAAGCTTATTTAACAAGTTATTTCCCAATATTTACCTAGAAGACATTTTCAAGAAGCAGATACTGTAAGGACTAACTTCCCACATAATATGATTTACATTTGAAAAAAGTAAAAAATCCAATTACCTGCACATCTTCTAACAATCCATTTCCAGATTCACCACCTACGACCACTATCCTGTTCCCAATTACAGCTGCTGCATGCTATTCAAGGAAAAACTGAAGTTCAATTTCTAACGAAAATTATAGTGGTAGTAATTATGACAATGCACTACGTATAGCAAATTTAGTGCCAATGACTACGAATGCTTTTACATTGAATCGAGGTGTGGGCTTGTCCCCAGAAGTTGACAGCAGCATCCAGTTCTCAGAGTGCCCTGAAGTGCAGTTGCTAAGCTCAGGTGCCGTTGATGAACACTGGAAGCTGGCACAAAATTTCTATTTGCGGAGTGGTACCCCCGAAACCTATGCTTGCATAACCAAGAACAGGAAAAGACGGAATTTTTTTCAAAATTGCAAAAACCATAGTGTTGGTGCTAACCATATATTTTCCCAAGTAGAAAAGATAGTAGTTAATTAAAAGTTCAAATTGCAAAATTAGTAAATTGCTGTCTATCTCATATTTATGGTAAAGGCGACTGTGCAGTGATTCTTAAATTCTGCAAACTTTTCTTTGGGTAAATAAACAGAACGATGTATTGAAGAAATGCAAATGTACAAAGCAACATACAACCCCAAAGGCAATAGATCAAACAAAGAAACATGTAGAAGATTGCAACATCCTGCAGTCGGTCCATCAAAAGCAGGCAGAGGAAGTCCGGGGGGATGCATTTTGCACTCCCCACAGACTACACAGCCTGTAAACTACAAACTGAAATTACATTATGTGCAAAAACAAGAGCCTGGAAGTTGCCAAGGAGAAGCAGTCTCTCTATGAAGAGGGGTGTCCTTGACTTTGGTTGAGAGAAGCCTACTTCTCACCATATTCAACACCGTCATCTGGTAGTACCTGGATCTTTATACTCATTGGTGAAAATTCTATGATTTCTTTCACCCCATAAAACATAAACTGTGACAACAAGACATAGTTTCCTAATGAAATTCTGCAGATCCTTGCCTTTCCATTGGGTGGACATAGCCTCAATGAGACTCCGCCAAGAAGAAGAACGCCATGGCCAATCACACTTACTGATGAGATTCTTCCAAACTCTCTCAGAGTATGAGCATTCATAGAATAGATGGAAGTGAGATTCTTGATTAGCTCTACAAAGCACATAAGTCGTTCCATTGTTGGGTGTAAAACTATGAATTCTGTCCTTTGTGATCAGTCTAATCCTTATAGCAAGTCAAAGGATAAAGCTGGTCCTAGGAATGCAAAGATTGAACCAAATAAGAAAGTACCACAGCACCTCAGGTTTTGTGGTCCTGATTTGATTCCAAGCTAAAGAAGTAGAGAATTTGCCATTTACATGGTGAAGGCATTTGATCTCATCCTTTGTCTCAATTGTTGGGGAGTAATTGGGCACAGTAGAGATGATCTCGTCAATAATTCTAGAGTTTCTAGGATTTACACTGGTTATCTTGGATAATGGAGTCAACTTTGGCATTCTTAGGGATCCCAGTATCATAAATCAGTCTAGGACCCCAATTAAGAAGGAGAGGTCTGTTAGGATGCCAAACAAAAATCATGCTAGAGAGATGTATTCCTACCATTTCCAATAACATAAAGAGTGAAAGGTCTTGCTAATTCCCTGACTTGCAGCAGCTTCCTCCAGTTCCCTGAATAGGCCTATGATGGTTTGGCTTCCCAAATGCTCTTGCCCCTAAGATGGTGATCCTTGATCCAACTGGTTCAAGTGTTATTCTCATCAGAATTAAGTGTTATTCTCTTCAAACTTGGAAGAAACAATCCATTAAGTTGAAAGGTTGATGATGATATAGTTGTGGATAAATCCAACTCATCTAAATTTCTTTCTATTTGGAAATTTTACTACTTCCTTAATGAGATAGATGTGAAAAATTAAAAAACGATAATTTTATGACACTATGATTAATGCGTGAAAAGGGTATAAAAATGTGTATCTAAAAAAAAAAGGATATATACCTGTGAATTTTATTAGTAAGTTTATTTATTGAAAGATTATTGTTGCGGTGACCGTGTAGTGACTCATTATAGATAATCCTATAAATAAACCTCATCTACGATATATTGGTAATTAGAATTTGTCTCTTATTCTTGGATTGACCAGTAAGGTTTGGAAACGATGAGGATTCAGAAATATCCACATATAATAGCCTATACCCTGGGACTATAAAGATAAGTAGTGGGGGACAAGCTCTACAAACCACAAAGGTTCCTCACCATTCTCAGTAATAAATAATAGTAGTAGTAACATAGGATTCATTAGATCAGGTGGTGGCTTACCACCACCGCAACCGTTGTCGCCGCCACCCTACCACCATCACTGTCACCGCCACCACCACCATTGCCACCACCCCCACCACCATTGCTGCCGTCACCACAGCCATCGCCGCCACCACCATCACCACCGCCGCCACAGCCACCACTGCCACAACCACCACCACCCCCCCCCACCACCACCGCCACCGCCACCGCCACCACCGTTATTACCACTGTCGTCTCTACCATCGCCGCCCCCACCACCACTATTGCCACCGCCGCCACCACCATCGCCGTCATGGCCGTCGCCATCACCGCCACCGCCACCGCCATCACCACCACAATCATTGCCACCCACGACAACCATCACCGTCTCCTACCACCACCACTGTCGCCCACCACCTCTCACCCTCACTACAATCGATGCTTAAATTTGTTTATCTGTCATTTATATTTATTATTTGATTTTGGATATGAATACAAATATATTTATTGTTTATTATTTTTTATTACTCTGTGCTTTCAGACACAAACAATAACTAGTTCTATTATAAATTAATAATAAGACACACTACTAGATAACTCTACACATGCATATGTAGTAGACTTGGATGTGATTGGTTAACGTCAATTATGCAAGTGTAATGTACATCACACAAGTATCCATGCGAAACAAATTCTAACACTCTTTACACGCGCGACTACCACTCGTATGTGAAAGATAAATTATTTATCTAACGTACGTGATTTTTTTTTCGAAAAAGATCGATGGGGCTCCTACTTGTTCTGCCAACTACCAAGCTATTAATGAAAGTGGGTCAACCCAATCTCTCACTAAAACATCAATAGGCAGTGAACAGAAAGATACTCCACCTAACCCACCTTCTTTGCGAATGAAGTCATTGCA